CCGCCAGGAAATCCACCCAGCAGGACCGGAGTGCTCATCGGTTTGCCATCTTCTACTCTGAAAATCGTTCCCGAACCAGCAGCGGGAGCTCGTGGAAAGGTCCGAAGCAGATATGTGAGTGTGTCGTAGAAAGCACTCTTCCCCCCAGGGCGGCTACCGAACACACCGTAGGTATGCTCCAAGGAGAAAGCAAACATAATTGATTAACGCCGCACTGTGATTGATTTGATAGTTGAAATAATTTGAAAATAAGCTTGTAATTAATTTAGATCTATTTATTTTGCTTACCTCTCGCTGGTCCGCTGTCCGTGTTCCACTGGATTTACAATGTCGAGCTGCCCATCACGGTACCACTACACGCAGATGCCGGAGCTTGTTCCATCGAAATTGAATTGGCCCACCGCGCTAGTGAGTGGAGTGGAATCCCCGGAACCCGAACGAATCTGAATCCATCAAAATTAGAGCTGTAATTAATGATTTTGCATGAAATCTCCGCCGACCGGCCTTTCTCCCCGGTCGGTGGCAGCTTTATCGCTCTACATCTATCTCCCGCTCTGTGTGCGAATCTGCCAGAAGCCCGAAACCTGTAATCAATTTTTGGAAGCCGCGGCCGTGTTTAGATAAAGCGCGATGTTATGGGCCAGATTAGATCTGCGAGGTGCGATAAATGGTTTGAATGTAGGCAGTTGATTGCCTGCTGCCGCGCTTTTATGCATGGGAAATGGAAGTACGAGCGTGGGGTTGTATGACGCAGTTTGTGGCCCTTAATTAGATGTTCGGGGCAGTCCATAGACTTTGTAGACTGTTTTTGGACAATGTTTAATCGCTCATTTCCCTTCAGATCAAGAATCATTGCTGCGTAGAAAGGGGAAAAACTTCTTATCTGGGGAGGAGATCTTCTAACCATCCAGCTTAACGGAAGACGAGTATCATGCTCAAGAATCCGCTGCTGAAAATTTAATTTATTTTCTCTTTCCACTGTTGTAGGTACCTGCACGCTTTCGAAGAACGAGCTCGAAGGAAAGAGAACTGAGATCGTTCCTCACATGCCGACCGCTACCAAAGGGATTCCCACCGGAGTCAATCACTTTGAGCTTTTTATGGCTTTTATTGAGATAGATGGATATAGATTACATATAAATATCGAATGACGACGACAAACGGTTGGATCTCCGGAATCCGGGTCGGACCAAAGCCGATGGGGAGTCCCGCGGAGTTGGACGGATTTTGCCGTCTGTCAGTTAGTCACTCATAAATTGATGAGGTTTCTGTCGATGATGGTTGCGATTGGCCGATTGACTCCGAGTTTGAATGAGGAGAATTGGAAAATGGAAAATGCTAATTACGACAGCGGTCCGATTGACAGCCATGTTGGCGATGAGATGCGTGGGTTGCGATGCTAAGAAATTGTGGTCAAGTTTGAAAAAAAAAATAAATAGGTAGAACATAGGTGGCTGCAGATGTAATGCAAAAGGTGGTTGAATCCAAACAGAAGCGATCCGTTTGATTATACTTGTGCCGCTTGTTTTATATCTCAGCTCGCAAACATTTTTTATGCGTTGAGCTTTTGTTGAAATCCAATATCTCATAAAATATTTCGATGCCTCATTACACTGGAACTTCCATTTACGAACCAAACCGGGGGTTCGTAAATCGAATTAGTGCGTAAAAAACCTCTTTTGAAAATACTGTCAAATACCCCACAATATGGGTATTTTTGGAATCGGGGTGAAGTGTAGTGAAGTGTTCTTCTCAAAAAATAAAGAAAGTTTGAGAGCTTCTAACTATACGTGTATTCAGGTTGACATCTACACTTCGAATCACTAATTTTTCCATCTCGGTCGCAGCTGTAGGTTGCTACGATTACTTGAATGGAACATCGTGATTACTGGGATGGAACATCTCCCCTCTTAATTCATCCAGTACTCCTCGAATCTAGCTGGTAAACGAGTCTGCCGGCGTTCCCTTGTTGCTGGCGGAACTGGTACTGGATCTTGCTGTGGTGGATTGTCTGCCTCACTATCATCCGAAAAATACTCCGCCGCATCACTTCCAAGCTCTTCATCAACTGGACCAAGTTCGTCGGGCACTGCAGCCGGTATCGTTGCTGGAACGGATGGTACGTCTAGGCCAAAACCGTCGAAGAATACCGATAACAGACTAGGACCTTGGCTTGGACTAGGATCTGTACCAGATTCGACCGCACGTTGCTTCAGTTGATTGGCATGAGAACGGATGAGCCGCTGATTATCCTCCAGGAAAACGTTGTAGTTGACTTTTCCGACACGCTCGATTACTGTAGCTTGATGGACTTGAGCAGATACAGCATCACCCGGAACGAGCTGCCTCGAAATCGCTCCATGCTTCTTGTTGAAACGCTTGTTTTGCTCATCTGCTTTCGGTTGTGCTGCTGATGTACGGTTGTGTTGCGGTAGTAGCATTGACGAAACTGTGCGGACCGGTCGTTCGAACATTATTTCTGCAGGAGACTTTTCACCTAGGTCAGCCGTTGGTGTTGACCTGTAAACTTGCAAAAACGTCTTCAATGCTTCCTCCACTGTGTCTCCTCCCGATCGAATCTTCTGAAGAGTGCGCTTCAAGGTGTCCACGAACCGTTCTGCTAACCCATTTGATTGAGGATCGAATGGTGCTGTGCGGACGTGGTGAATGCCTTGATTCTCACAGAAATTCTTGAACTCGTAGCTGGTGAACTGGGTACCATTATCTGAGACGATGGTTTCTGGCACGCCAAATGTTGCGAACGTTTGAGTAAGTAGCTTGATTGTTGTTCTTGTCGTTGTGGTTTTAGTTGCGTATACTTCGGGCCATTCGGTGTACGGGTCGACAACTACCAGGAAAAATACGCCGTCCACAGGTCCTGCGTAGTCAATATGGATGCGTAACTACGGCTTATCAGGGATGGGCCACGATTCAAGCGTTGTTTTGACTGGTGCAGCAGGGAGTGCATTGCCGGACGAAATTCTCAATGTCGTTGTCGATTCCGGGTCAGTAAACGAAACTGCGTGCAATAGACTTCATTCGTACCATGCCGGGATGTCCGCGATGAAACTGCTTCAGGATTTGCCTTCTGAACTTGCTCGGAACGACTACCCTGTCGTGGAACAGTATACAGCCATCGACGTGGGTGAGAGACTCCCGCCTGTTGAAGTAGACTCGAATCTCTGGATCTTCGACTGATCGTGCATCGTTTGGCCAACCCTCACGAATGAACTGCAGCACCGCTTGTAGTGGTTCATCTGCCTGTGTTGCACTTTTGATGTCTGCGAACGAAACTGGTACCTGCTAGATAGTGTTTTGAATAATGCTCACCATGTCTTTTTCTAGGGATATCGCTGCCGGTTGAGAAGCATCAATGCCCATCGTTGAAGTAGATTTGCGGTGTGCAAAGGAATGCCCTTCTTCGATCCAAAGATTGATAACAGCGGTTTGTGATCCGTGAGCAGAGTGAATCTGCACCCAAGGAGGTACTTGTGAAACTTCGTTACCGCATATATTAGTGCAATTGCTTCTTTTTCCGGCTGCCCGTAACCTTTCTCAGCTGGAGTGAGGGATCTTGATGTGTGCTGGATTGCCTTCAGATGTCCATTTGAAAATTCATGGAAGATGACTACACCGATGCCCGTGCTGGAGGCGTCCGCTGCTACGATGATTGGTAACTTCGGGTCGTAATGCGTCAGCAACATATCGGACTGCAGGACTTGCTTGAATTGCTCAAAAGACCGTTGGCAATCGGAATTCCACTGCCAGTTCGAATCCTTCTTGAGTAATTGGTCGAGGGGATAACGAAGTTCATGGATGTTGCGCACGAATCTGCCGTAGAAATTAACGGCTCCCAGGAAACATTGGTGGGTGCCGGAATAGAGGCGATGGCTTGAAGCTTCTCTGGATCCGGACGGATGCCGTTTCGATCGACGAAATGCCCCAAATATTTGATTTCGGTTTGGAAGAAATGGCACTTTTCCAGCTTGACATGGAACCCATTTTCTCCTAGACGTTGTAGTAGCTTGTCTAGTGACGCCTTGTGTTCCTCCTAGATTCTTCCTAAGATGATAGCGTCGTCGAGAAACGACCGAACACCAGGAATGTCGACTATCATGCTGTCAACCAGTCTTTGGAATGTTCCAGGAGCGAGTCGGTTGAATTGGAAGAGGCCTCGATGCGTGTTTATGGTGAGGAGCTTCTTCGATTCTTCATCTACTTCCACTTGCAGGTATGCATCGGAAAGGTCGATGATGCTGAATATGGTGCTTTCGTTGAGCTGTGCGAACATCTCCTCCGGGGTAGGTAGAGGAGTAGTCCGCACAGATGCGAACTTTACCATTCGACTTGCGTACTGCTACAATCGGAGCGGCCCACTCTGAGAAATCGATCGGTGTGATGATTCCCAGAGACTGAAGACGTGTTAATTCTACATCCACCAGCGGAATCGTGTTGAACGGAACTGGTAGCTTCGAACAGAAAACTGGTTTGGCGTTAGGTTTGAGGAATAACTTTACCTTGGTTTTCTTGCAGTGGCCCAGCGAGTCGTCGAAAACCGCCGGATGCTCGGCTTGCAGCTGTGCTCTAGCTTCGGCGAAACATGGTCTGGATACAGCAGAAACTTGATTGCAGAGAGTATCGAACGGAACCGACCACAGGTTGAACATGTCGATCCAATCATTACGTTGAGATCTGGTGATGACGTTACGAAACACTGACCACGCTTGACCATGTCATTGAGGACTGCTTCACAATGGAATTCTCCGATGAGAGCGAGTGGTCCACCAGATGCGCTGGAGGCTTCGATCGATGATGGAGTTAGCTTTGGTCGTCTCAGTTGCTGCCAAGTTTTCTTGGAAATCACCGTGATATCACTTGCAGAATCCAGTTGGAGCGATCATGACACCGTTGATGTTGATGGTCACATACTTGCGTTTCCGGTTGCTGTTTGCGATGTGCTTCACGAAAATTCCCTTGGCTTGAGATCTGGGACAGGCCTTCTACTGGAACTGCTTCTTCTTTCGAGGTTGAGTTGTAGAGTCGCTTGAAGACTTCTTGATGCAGCTACAGTAGCCTTCTTTATGACCAATGCGGTTACATACCTTGCAGAGATGATCAGAAAATGGACAGTCGCGGACGTAGTGCATCTGACCACACTGCCAGCATGGAGTACGAGGAGTGGACTTGCTTTCCGTTTTCAGTGGACGATGCTGGTCTCCGGGTTTCTTCTCCGAAATGCTATGGACCGAATTCTTCGAACTTGATGGATGCTCGATCATCGTAGTGTCCGACTTGATGTTGACGAGCCGCTGGAACTCGTCGATCAGAGTTTGAATTGTCACCGGAGCATCAGCCGTCCGCGTCGCGTGGTGCTTTGAGACCACAAACGAAAATCAAGCACTTGAAGTGATCAATCTTCAAATTCTGGAACTCGAACTCTTCACATGCCCTGTTGACTTTTCCGCCATAGGTGATTATGTCGTCGGCCTCGGACTTGAGTAGCTGCATGCACTGGTAGCGTTTGTGGAATACGGAGGTCTGTCTGCCGAAGATCTTTGTGAGTGTCTTGACGGTATCGACAAACGTGACGTCCTTTGGTAGTTTCGGAAGGATGAAGTTGACGTAGCGAATGTGAGAGGACGTGTCCAACTTCCGGAGCAGAAGCCTAACTTTTGCTGCGTCGTCCAGACTTCGTGCGTCGCTTTCAAACAAATCCGAGTAACGGGCAAACCATTTTTCGAATGTGGTGCCGTTCTCCGGATCGAAGCAGAACTCGCTGATGTTTGTCGACAGGGATTCCAAAACTTGCTCTGGGTTCGTTGCTTGTGGAACGGCCAACCGCTGGAGAAGCTGCAAAATCGCTGCTTGGAGTTCTTCGTTTGTCGCCGTCATCCTTCCTCGGTTCGATTCTGGAATTTCTTGAACTTGTGAGCTTCCAGAAAAATCCTCGTCGCCAACTGAAGTGTTCTTCTCAAAGAATAAAGAAAGTTTGAGTGCTTCTAACTATACGTTTATTCAGGTTGACATCTACACTTCGAATCACTAATTTTTCCATCTCGGTCGAAGCTGTAGGTTGCTGCGATTACTTGAATGGAACATCGTGATTACTTGGATGGAACATGTAGGAACCAGAATCCATCCCTAATGAAATTGGTATGGTTATTTTGCTTAACGACGTGTTTAGGGTATCATCCAAACCATTTGTGAAATAGTTCGACCATTTGGGTTATCGTTCGAGTATAGTTTTTTTTTTATTAGGGATGTCTGACACATAGAAATCCAAGATTGTGGCAAACAGTTACAGAAAGACCTGGAAATACTATCAAATATTCCACAATATAATTACTTTTGGAAACCCATGTCTGACGCAATTTTGAAATTAAAGATGGTGGCTTCTGATTACAGAAAAACTGAAAAATACTGTAAATATATAGGTGTTTTTTTTTGGAATCAGAGTGACGTGTAGGAGCCGGAAATCCATGTCTGATGCCATTTCAAAATCCAAGATGACTGCATCCGGTTAGAGAGATTATTTCAAATACCCCTCAATATGGGTATTTTTGGAATCGGGGTGACGTGTAGGAACCGGAAATCCATGTCTGATGCCATTTTGAAATTCAAGATAGTGTCTTCCGGTTACAGAAAGACTGGTAAATAGTGCCAAATTACCCACAATATGGAAATATTGGATTTAAAAATGGCGTCAGAAATGGATTTCTGGTCTCTACGCGTCACCACGACTCCGAAAATTCCTATATTGTGTAGTGTTTGACAGTATTTCCCAGTTTTCCTGTAATTGGAAGCAGCCATCTTGGATTTAAAAATGGCGTCTGACGTGTATCGTAACGTGTGAAAGCTGCTGATGTGCATTGAGTTGTAATGTGTCTACGTGTGCGTCAAAACCGTAGGTTTCCTTTGGATCGAGATGTGTAGAACAAGCGTTGGAAGAAGATAGCAAACTGGTGACGATCTAAAAATGCATACGTAGCACAATTCCGACGCGGTGTAGCCTGGGCAATGTTGTCCTTCCGACAATAGCAAAGTGAGGAGGTGCGACGCGAACACTGGCGCGGTAACCATAGCACGGCGATAGAGGAAATGCTTCCTCAACCCGCAGGAGTGCCAACCGGCACTTAGGATCGACGCCAGTAAGATCCTTATTACGGCATACTGGACACGGCATGGAATAATGGACACGATACGGCACAATGGATTGGATACCACGCTACAGGGCTGACAGTCGTGCTATTCTGCTCCCTGATTAAAAAACGGTGACACCTTCTCGAAATGGTGAGTGGGCTAATAGTGCGTCTGTCTCCATCCCGGTAAATCCTTGGCAGGCCTCCGGATACGTTCAAAACTCGTCACCAATTGGTGGTTGGTGAGTAGTAGGCTCAGATGTAACATTCCTGACTTACGCCGATCTGGCTCTGAACACGGCCCCCATGAAGGACCGTATCAACCCTAGCATGGCCTCTCTGCTTGCATAGATAACCATGGGATCACGACAGGCGACTACATACAACGAGGGGAGATAGCGGCTCGGAAAAAACTAAAAAAATATGAAGGACGACGGCCAGACGCCAGACAGTGAAAATGAAGGAGCGAACGTGTCCGCAAGGATAGGCATATCGCAGAGACCACAGTGAGTTCCAGCAGCAGCAGTAAGCCCAAATGTGAGCAGCAACGACACCAAGGAGAGCTTGGTCTTGTGCTAAACCAGATGTTCACACCGAAATCTAGCAGTAGCACACCCCAAGAAGGATTGCAGCTTAGAAAGATCAAATTGATGGAGGTCAAGAGGAGGATCAATGAACTCCATGACTTCATCAATGATAAGAGCAACGTCCACAAGGCAATAAAGGAAATGGTGACGGGAATCAAATCCGCCATTATTGCTGCAAAGCGTGAACAGGATGCGCTGAGGACGAGATCCGTGACTGCCGAAAGGGCACTGATCGAGGCCAAGTAGAAAGCAGCAGCTGAAGCTCAGGAGACGCCGAAGGGACCTCGAGATCCACGCTCCGAAAAGAGGAAAAGGGAAACGCCAGGAGAGGAAGAGGAGTTGAATAAAGTCAAGAACGACAAGGAAGATAACAAAGAAGAAGGAGATACCCAGGACTCGTCGGCAGCGAAGTAAGGGCGATGCTCTGATCGTCGAAGCAAAAGACGAAACGACGTATGCAGCACTCCTCCGGAAGGTTCGAGAGCATCCGGAGTTGAAGGAACTGGGATAGAACGTGGTGAAAACCAGGCGCACCCAGAAAGGCGAGATGCTCTGTGAGCTGAAGAAGGATCCTTCGATCAAGAGGTTAGCCTTCAAGGAGCTCGTCGAGAAGTCTCTTGGCGAAGGGGCGAGCGTAAGTTGTGTGTGTGTGTGTGTGTGTGTGTGTGTGTGTGTGTGTGTGTGTGTGTGTGTGTGTGTGTGTGTGTGTGTGTGTGTGTGTGTGTGTGTGTGTGTGTGTGTGTGTGTGTGTGTGTGTGTGTGTGTGTGTGTGTGTGTGTGTGTGTGTGTGTGTGTGTGTGTGTGTGTGTGTGTGTGTGTGTGTGTGTGTGTGTGTGTGTGTGCGTTTTCTTTTTTTTTTTGGCAAGGAGAAACCTTCAAAAAGGCCATCGTGCCACCGCTTGACGACTGGGCGCACAGTTGCGGTGACACGGTGTGTGGGATTCTTACCGCACTAAAACCTCCTTAGACGCCTTGCCCTTTTCCCCCGGAACCACTTGTCGTATTACTTCAGAGGGGGCCGTGCATTACGCACCTCACTTTACCTCAGCTAATTGGTGCTTCCAGTTCGCTGATCGTCTCTCCAATTTGTGAGCCATTTAGCTCCCAGCATAACGTTCTACTCGGTTATCCCCGGTGGTGGATTCAGCCTACTCTGACGGAGAGCTCTCCCGGCATCGGCTTTCAGTTCGCACCTGTGTGAGCACATTACTACTTTCAAGCTGGTCCTCTCGCCATTTTCGCTGTAGCGCTGACATGATCTGCGTTACTGCTCTGTTGACGGCGTTAAAGGTGCCCTCCTCTCGACACGTTTCTTCGACGACATTCTCCGTGCTAAGGGCGAGCATATCCTCTCGCACAGCATCAAATCTAGGACATTCGAAGACCACGTGCTCTGGTGATTCTTCCACATTCACACACTCCGGACAGAAGGGTGACGTTGTGTGTCCGAACCGATGCAGGTACTTCCTGAAGCAGCCATGACCAGACAGGAACTGCGTTAAGTGGAAGTTGACTTCTCCATGCTTCCTGTTCACCCAGGTCGAATGAATTGGTAATAGCCTGTGTGTCCATCTACCGTTCTCTGCTGCACTCCTGCTGCCACTTAGCCATCGACTCCGTTCTCACCATTTTTCGTACTCCTCTGGTTTTTCTCGTCATATAGCACTCGTAGTCCTCCGCCAAGGTAATGCCGCTTGGGATCATACCGGCGATAACGCATACTGCCTCCATCGAAATGGTTCTGTACGCACTCACGACTCGCATGCAGTGTTGGCTAAAATCAAGATCAGAAAATCAAAATCAGCAATCTTTCAAGATCAAGATCACCTAAAATCACACGCACCAATATCACAAGCTATCATCACCATGAAAATCACACGTGATTTTCGACCAATATCAGCCGTGATTTTCGATTCTCAAAATCAACCAGCATCAATATCAACCAAGATCAAAATCATCGAAAATCATAGGATTAGAAGATATGTGAAATTCTAGAGTTTGGGCAATTCCAAAATTCAAGTCAACATTCCGGATGAAATTAAAATGGTGGATTTCAACCCTAGATGGCTCCCACAAATCCAAGATGGCTCACCAAAATCCAATATGGCGGCCCCTGGACAGAGAATATGCATCTAAACCCATGCAATATGGGTATCTACGGAATGGGTTCGATGAAAGGAGGTGGCAAATTGGCATCCGCCGCCATTTTGGAATTCAAGATGGCGGACCAAAATCCAATCTGGCGACCCTGGACAAGGAATATGCATCTAAACCCATGCAATATGGATATCTCCGGAATGGGATCGATGAGGGGAAGTGAAAAATTGACATCCGCTGCCATTTTGAAATCCAAGATGGCAGACCAAAATCCAATATGGCGGCCCCGGACAGGGAATATTCATCTAAACCCATGCACTATGGATATCTCTGGAATAAGATCGATGAGGGGAAGCGAAAAATTGAGATCCGCTGCAATTTTGAAAACCAAGATGGTGGACCAAAATCCAATATGGCGGCCCCTGGACAGGGAATATGCATCTAAACCCATGCAATAAAGGTATCTACGGAATGGGCTCAATGAGGGGAAGTGGAAAATTGGCATCCGCCGCCATTTTTGAATCCAAGATGGCGGGCCAAAATCCAATATGGCGGCCCCGGACAGGGAATATTCATCTTAACCCATGCAATATGGATATCTCTGGACTGGGATCGATGAGGGGAAGTGAAAAATTGACGTACTGCAAGCCGATCAGGTCAAGGATCCAAACGGTATTCCTGTAGCACAACGTTCTATCTTCGGGTGGATGGTTGCAGGAAGAATCTCTCTCGAAGCAATGGTGTAGTATATTCCCCAAATCTAGCAACACGGTCATTACCCGAGTGCTGCGATGCATATTTGATAAAACAAACAAATCAAGTATCAACGCATCATGAGGGCAAAGAACTGTGGTCGCCAACTGCACATATGCTTTGTAAGCAGTTGCGATATTTATTTGTACTTTGTTCTGATCGCACGATGGTACTTCCAGGCTGCTCCAAGTAGGTCACCATGCATGCGTGTACAATTGGATAGCTGAATAAACTCACTCTTGTTTTAGCCTTCTCCAAGGGAACATTTAATTGAGAGAACAGTCCCCTTCAACGAAATACGTTACAATGGCGTATGCACACACATCACTCGGCAATCAATCTTCCCCAAGATTTCGACATCGATCGCACCCTGCGATTGTTCTGGGAAGATCAGGAGCTTCGTCAAGCTAAGAAATGGACAGAAGAGGAGCAAATGGTCGTTGATCATTTCAACTCGACGCACACTCGCTCGAAAGATGGACGCTTTATCGTTCGATTTCCAATGAACGATTCAAAGCTGCAACTTGGAGATTCGCTGACCGCAGCAGTCCGTAGGCTACGCGCAATGGAACGGAAGTTCGAGACCGACAGCAGCTTCAAGGAGAGATACGTTGCATTCATGCAAGAGTATCAGGATTTGGGCCATATGGAGCTGATTCCGGAGACAGAGATTCTGGTTAATTGCGCGAAGTCATATTATTTGCCGCATCATGGCGTCGTAAAGGAAGATAGCACCACGACCAAACTCCGAGTTGTGTTCGATGCATCATGTGCCACGACTTCCGGAGTCTCGCTGAATGATTTGTTACTGGACGCCCCGAACATTAACACTGAGATATTCGATATCATAATGTAGCTCAGGTTCTTCGAGGTGGTACCGTCAAGTACTTACGCACCCTGACGATCGAGACTACCTACGTGTGGTATGGAGAAGCTCGCCGGACAAGCCGATACAACACTTCCGGCTTAGCACGGTGACATTTGAACTCAAGAACTCTGGATTTCTGGCCATGGCGGCGCTCAAGACGGCAGCGGAAGAATACAAAGGGAAGTATCCTGAAGTAGCTGAACGGATCACGAAGAATACATACGTCGACGTTCTTACATTGGGAGCAAAATCGGAAGAAGAAGCCATTCGTTTGGTTTGGTTAAAGAGGTCAACGAGATCATAGAGAGTGTTGGATTTACATTACGGAAATGGAGTTCCAATTCGGCGGCGGTTCTGAAGTCGCTACCTGAAGTCAGCATTACCGCAGTACAGATACAGTTTCCGGATGAACGCAATTCGGTGAAAGCCCTGGGAATTCATTGGATTCCGGACATAGACGTCTTCACACTCAAGGTAAATCTGCAGATTGATGGTCCCAATACGAAGCACCAGCTATTGTCGGATTCCGCCAGGCTGGCACCACCTGGAGTCGATTATCCTCTGTGGTGGACAGGACCGAAGTGGCTGGCGGAGGATTCCGCAACCTGGAAACAAAGTGTCTTGTCCGAAGAGCACGATGAAGCTACACTGGAGTTACGTAAGCGATTCCAATTCCTAAACATTCCAGTAACGACGTACGAAATCGAGAAGCAAATCCTCAATAGTCGATCGAGCTTCGGCGCAGCCTGCCGACAGTTGGCATGCGTGAAGCGGTTTATGTACAACCTGGGATCGAAGGCATTAACACGCTACGAGAAACGTTCTGGTCCTATTCTGCCATCCGAGTTGCAGCTCGTCAGACTGGCTCAGCACGAACACTACGAAGAAGAAGTCAAATCGTTGGCAAAGGGGAGCAAAGTCCATCCAAAATCCAAGATCTGCGGCTTGTACCCATTCCTTGATGGTACCGGCACGATCAGAGTCGGTGGACGCCTGCAGCAATCGTCGTTTCCTTTCGAAGTCAAGCACCCAGTTATTCTCCCGAAGAACCACCTTCTTACGAGATTGCTGGTGGAAGAGATGCATCTACGGAACTGTCACGCGGGCTCCAGACTCTTGACAGCAACAATCAATCAGACCTGCTGGATCCAAGGCTGCCAACATGTCATCAAGCAAGTGATCCGGAATTGCGTCAAGTGCTGCCGACAAAAAACGAAGATTTCGCAGCAATTGATGGGAAGTCTACCAGCGGCGCGCGTAACAGCATGTCGACCGTTTAACCATGTTGGAGTCGATTATGCCGGCCCGATACTGGTACGATGTAGCAAAACTCGCGGTGAACGTAGCTCGAAGGGATATATTGTCGTTTTTGTGTGCCTCTCGAGCAAGGCAGTTCACTTGGAAGTCGCAGGTGACCTGTCTACGGATACTTTCTTGGTAGCATTCAAGCGGATGATTGCTCGCCGAAGATATTGCAATGAAATCTGGTCGGACAACGGAACAAACCTGGTTGGTGCCGACCGATACTTGAAGGAAATCTATGAAGTAACTGAAGCTCACAGCAAGAACACCGAACCGTTCTTCAGCAATCTTGACATTCGTTGGAGGTTCATCACGCCATCCAGTCCACATCAAGGTGGCATTTGGGAAGCGGCCGTCAAAAGCGCGAAAAAGTTGCTGCGACCGGTCGTTGGAAACGAGAAGCTGACATTTGAGGAACTATCAACTGTACTCTGCCAAATAGAAGCGTGTCTCAACTCTAGACCTCTCTGTACGATCTTCAGTTCGCCGGACAGTCTGGAAGCCCTTACTCCGGGGCACTTCTTGGTTGGGCAAACACTAAATTTACTGCCCGAACCTGATGACACGCACCTCAAGGTGAACCAGTTGAACCATTGGCAGAAAGTTCAAAGATATACCGTCGAGTTTTGGAACCGTTGGCGTGATGAGTACATCGCAACTCTGCAGCCACGAGGAAAGTGGAAAAACACTCGAGACAACATCAAGCTGAACCAGCTCGTCTTGGTCAAAAACGACAACACTCCGCCGTCCGCTTGGGAATTGGCCCGGGTATCCGCAGTTCATCCCGACAAGCATGGCTTAGTTCGCACTGTCACGTTGCGTCGAGGCAAATCGCAATACCAGCTCCCAGTGCAGAAACTGTGTCCACTTCCGGATTGAGGTGTTACCTCAAGGCGGGGAGGATGTTTGAGGATTTTGTGACGACATCCCTACCTCCCGAGCAACCAGCGTACCTACAATACCAACTAACCTTGCTGGCGCCAAAAATCTGCCAGCGCAAAGCGAAGAGAAAACAAACAAAACACTTGTGTTCGAAAAGTCGAAATATAAGCACGTTAAGACAAGTTTATTTGTTGCAACCGATAGAAAATTCCGCCGTTCCGAAAAACGTGTTCTCGGGTTTCAATTTTTAGTCCAGGTTCGTCTCGACCTTTCGTTTCGGTTCGTACACTGGCCAATTTCAAAGCAGCGACTTCGACGAAGCATTGGGGCAGTCATGTGTCTATTTCCACTGTGCGGGCGCTGATGGGCTCCATCAAGTGGAAGGTTCGAGATTTCGTTCGAACTGGAGAAATGTAACTATCTAATGCTGTAACTTTGAAGTTTAATTTAAATGTACTGTACAGCAACTGTTCGGAATACTTTTAAAAGAAATGCACCACCGTTTTTGTAGCAGCGTTAAATACAGCTCAAACTGCAAATTGTTTAATTATTCATTTAATCTGGATTTCTTAATAATATTTTTTACTCACAATTGATAGTTTATCTTCTTTTTTTTTTCTTTATTAGAGAGATTTTTAGCCTAAGGCTAGTTCATCTCTTCAAGTTTTTCTTCACCTTCGTGCAATGAGTGTTATTTTCCTGTTTTGTTCCACAATCAGTATCTACGATTGTTTATTTAATTATGTTAAGCAACAACATCGAACACGTTCCTTGTATAAATTACTTACAATTCTAGTGTGACGTCTGCCCACGCTGTTAGTCACTAGTTTTATCGATCGGTTTTTAATAAAGGCACTGCACACAAGTTTCAATGTTTAATTCACTTAATTTCAGCAAAAACTTAAAAAAAAAATGAAGAATAACTATCAATTGTGAGTTTTACTATTCCTCGATCCGTTTCAATACTAGCTATACATTTTTTACACTAGACCGGTATTTGGCCTAAACCGTGTTCCCAGTTTTCTTTACACCCCAGCCCGTAACTCCGGTTCCGCTTTGCCGGATGTCCTGGAATTACCGGGAATCTCCACTACGGCTAGGTTGGCCACTGCTCTCCGAAATACGCCTTTATTTGTCTTCACCATGGCTTGCCGGATCTTGCCATCCACAGCTTCTACAACCTCTTCAACTATTCCGCGGACCCAATTCTTCCGCTGTGCACCATCTACTATGAACACCAAATCTCCCACTTGCAACGGTCTTCGCTCTTCGTACCACTTTGTCCTCCGATTGATACTGGGTAGGTACTCCTTGCTCCACCTCTTCCACATCCTATCGGCCTGGTACTGTGACCGCTTATAAACGTTCCTCAGAGCATCTGCCAGTTCAACATCCCCATCGAAAATCTGATCCTCATCCTTGACAGCCCCGCGCAAAAAACGATTTGGTGTGATGGCTTCGGTTTCTTCAGTTTCTTGTGGAAGATATGTCAACGGACGTGAATTAACCATATCCTCCGCCTCCGACAACGTGGTCAAGAGTATTTCATCCGTTAGCTTTCTGCCGTCGTCTAAAGCTCTCATAGCTTCCTTAACAGATCTCACCATTCTTTCCCAGCTACCCCCCATGTGGGGTGTTCCGGGAGGGATGAAATGCCACTTGATTGCTGGACTTGTGACACTTTCCGCACATTCTGTACTGACCTTCTGCTTCGTTTTGTACATCTCATTGCTTGCACCTTTGAAGTTGGTTCCGTTGTCCGGAAAGAATTCGTCCGGCGAACCTCGCTTACAGATGAACCTCCTTATCGCCATCATACGAGCTTGCGTGGTCAAACTATGCACCACTTCGAGGTGAATGGCTCGTACTGCAAGGCAAGTGAACAGAGCTACCCATTTCTTCTCTCTTCGACGACCGACCAATACTTCTACAGGACACAGATAATCAACTCCGACCGAGCTGAAGGGGCGCAACTGCGGCGTGACCCGTTGAACCGGAAGTGGTGCCATCACCGGAACTTGTGGCTGACATCGGTTGACTTTGCACCACATGCAGTCTTTCACGACTAGCAAAATGGTTGCTCGAAGCTGTGGGATGTAGAAGCGTTGACGAAGTTCGTTGAACACGGTCTCCTTGTTGGCATGACCATATTTTTCATGGTAATATTGGATGATCATACTTGTGATCTGATGTCGCTTGGGAAGAATTACCGGAAATTTCGTATCGAAAGGAACCGATTCCGATAGCGCCAATCTTCCACCCATGCGCACAATTCCGTTGGCATCGATGATCGGACTCAGCTTGTAGAGCCAGCTTGACTTGTCAACGAGTACCGGCGATTGATCCGGGTTGCGTCCACGGCTGGTCTCCAATATCTTCAATTCTTCCTCAAAGCTGTCCTGCTGGGCTTGTTTCACAAGCATAATTTCTCCTGCTTGGAGCTCGTCTTGAAGCAGCGGCAACCAGATGGATTCCGGTTTCGCTATTACAGAACGCTCCAAGTTGCGTCCCGCCTTCGATACTAGGATTGGGTGCCTAGCTATTTTTCGCCGACAGTTGACAATGAACCGAATTACGCTGGCTGCTATTCGAATCAACCTCAACCACCGTGACGTTACGTTGACGTTGATAACCGGATAACCGGCGTCGTGGAACAGCATGCATGCTTTCATCTCTTCCAAGACGTTGAACTTCGGTTTCTGCTGCTCGGGCCACTCTGACTCTGGTTTATGTAGAAACTGTGGACCGTTGAACCATGGACCGTCTGATTCCAGTGGTGGTCCTTGTCTCCATTTCGTAACGACGTCGGCGATATTCAAATCGGACGGAACATACCTCCAATCGTTAGTAGACGTCAGTTCCAATATTTCACAGATTCGGAAAGCAACGAATTGCTTGTATTTGTGCTGATCTGACCGGATCCAGCTCAGCACCGTTTGCGAATCACTCCAAAGAACGAATTTTGAAATGGTAAGTGAATGGTTTAATCTTACCGTTTGCAGCATCCTCGCCCCGAGAACAGCAGCCATCAGTTCGAGACGTGGAACTGACTGTAGTTTTAATTGAGCCACCTTCGAACGTGACATCACCAGCGAGTACCTTACATCTCCGTCGATTACAGCTCTGAAGTAGGCAGCACAACCGTATGCGTGAATGCTTGCATCAGTAAAAACATGCAGCTCCAGAGAGTTGATGGACGTTGAGCGAGCGTCTTTGAAGTAACAGCGAGGTATACGTATGTCTTCCACCGTCGGCAACAGACCCGTCCAGCGTTCCCACTTACGAAGACTCTCGTCGTCTACTTCGTCATCCCATTCGCAGCCTGTTCGCCACAGATCTTGCACCACCATTTTTCCGTGGATTGTGAATGGTGTGAGCAAACCTAACTAATCGAAAAATCCCATTACGCAGCTCAGAACTATTCTCTTCGTAGGACGTTGACATTCGAGCAGATACGGCCGCACGTCTTGCCGATGCTACATCGAGAACGAAAACTCATCGTGCCTTGGATCCCAGATGATACCAAGTACTCGCTCAGTCCCGCTTTCCTTATCCTGATTGAAATGTACCGACTGGTCTTGCCGGACTTCTCCCAGTTCATCGAGAAACGCTCCGGAGTTCGACACCCAGTTCCTAATCTCAAAACCTCCCTTCGAGTGAACATATCTCACATCCGTTGCTCTAGTGATGGCCTCTTCGATTGTATCGACGCTGTCGAAGTAGTCGTCGACATAGTGCTTCTCTATTATCGCTGCTGCTGCTTCTGGAAATTGCGTGGAAAACTCGATGGCATTCTGATTCTTCACGAACTGCGCTTGGCACGGTGAGCATTTGGATCCAAACGTCGCTACATCCATTATGTACACGCTTGGAGAATCGCGTGATGAGTCTCGGAACACGAACATCTGTGCCTTCTTATCTACCGCCCGTATCAGTAGCTGATGATACATCTCACGAATATCTCCGCCGAATCCGATGGGTCGTTCCCGAAAACGGTTGAGAACACCCGGTAGTGGATTGAGCATGTCTGGACCTGTGAGCAACTGGGAATTCAAAAAAACACCATTTACCGTTGCCGCTGCGTCCCACAACAGCCTTACTTTTGCAGGTTTCTTTGGATTCAGAACTACGTTGATGGGAAGGAACCATGACTCCTGCGGATCGAATTCAGCCAATTCTTCTTGTGTCGCTAGATGTGCGTAGCCCTTATGCTGGTATTCCTCGATCTGCTTTCGCACGTTTTCATACAACTCCGGTGTCTTCTCCAGCCGTTGCTCCAACTGTTTTAATCTGCGTACCGCCATGGGAAAACTGTTCGGAAATTTTGGGTTTTCGGTTTTCCACAGCATTCCGGTTTCGAAGCGGTCACCGACGCGCACTGTAGTACGTTCTAGGATCTCTCGAGCTCGTATTTCTTCCTTCGACTCCTGTGACACAGCAACCACTGATTCCTCCAGCGCGTATTGTTCCTTCAGCAGGTTGTGCACATTTTCGTTATTTATTTCATGGTGATATCCTACGAAATTCTGTCTATGCTTCGGTTGTCCTCCTGTAGGTCCGTAAACTGACCAGCCGCGTTTAGACCTTACAGCGATTGGCTCTCCTTGATCTCCAACTTTTGCTTGCATCGGTGCGATGACGTGAAGGTTGTTCAAACCGATTAGAATTCCGGGTCTTTGACTGGAATACGATGAGATCGGTAGATCACGAAGGAAATGGTAAACAGAAGACATTGCCGTGCCGTCCAGTGATTGTTTCGGCAGAAGAAGTTGTTCCACAGTCTGTACGGATTTCAAAAACAGCTTTTCCTGGTCTCCTGAAGCGGATATCCACAGATTCATCTTTGTTGAGCCTTCTTCAACTCAAGTGACGTCAGCGGTCCATTTTATCGTGAGTGGCTGAAGAATTCCTTTCACTCCGAGTTGGTCGGTTAGCGATCGCTCCACCAACGTAATTGAGGCTCCTTCATCCAGAAAAGCTAGTGTTTTCACTGTCCGATTCCCACAATGTAGCGACACTGGAATCATTCGGAAGAGGACAGTCCCTTGAAGATTGATGTGTATGTTCATCACAATTGATGATGCAGCAGAGGATGATGGCGCTCCCAACACTCGCCGACGTTACATCGCATCTTGAATCGACAAACTGCATTTCCGTGGTCATTCAGGCAGATTTTACACAGCTTGGCATTTTCAACAATCTTCATACGATCCACGATCGACATAGCTTTGAAATCTTGGCAAAACCGCAGCCGGTGATCTATACGCTTGCACGCTTTGCAAGGCTTTAGATTCTCGGGTACAGTGGTGCTAACTGCATTACTTTCTCTTGAGCTTTCGCTCACGCTGTGGTTATAGAATGCTCCTTTCTCCTTTACTGCTCCTTTACCAGCTTTTCCGTAACGACTGTCTTTAGCTTCTCCTTTAACTTCCACGCAGGCATTGGCTTCACATGCTTCCGATACAATTCTCGAGAGAAAATCAGCAAACGTCCTCAAGGTGGCTTTCTTCTTTTTGGTTTTGAAGCGCACCCATTCGCGTTTATCGGATGAAGGAAGTTTGTCCACCAGACTCTGTACCAGCAATGGATTCACGAGATGCTGTTCCAGATCCGCCGCTTCAAGGTGGTCGCAAAGTTGCTCTACTGCATTTCCGAAAGGAATAAACGTTCCCAAATTCTCGGCCTTTGGAGGATCCAACTGCTTCACCTTCTCTAGGTGGTAATGTAACAGCTGTTCCGGACGACCATAGAGTTGTCGCAGTTTGTCAATCACTCTCGGTATGGATTTTGGTAGCAGAAATTGTCCCCGAACGCTCTCCAATGCTGGTCCTTTAAGACTCTCTTGTAGACGAACAAGATTTTCGATGTCGTTGTATCCACATGCTTCGTTTGACGCTTCGTAGCTGCCTATGAACAGAGGCCATTCCTCCGGTTTCCCAGTGAATATGGGAAGTTTCCAGCAGATTCCGTTCCGCGCAGCCAGTTGCGTCTTCGTAGGTCCAGCAGATTTCTGCCCCAGCCCGTGTAGCTCTACTTTCTTCTTTACTTGCCTTTTCTTGGATTTCTTTTCCGGTTTCATTTCTTCCTCTGATTCCTCCTCAGATTCGTCGTATGTTTCTTCGGATTCCTCATTTTCCTCTTCGTTTTCTTCATCCGATCCGTCATCTCCAGAATCAGATTCTCCTTCCTCGGTTTTTTCTTCGCTGTCTTCATTTTCCGATACACAGGCCTTGTTTCCGTTTTTCCACTTTTTGTACCCTTTGCCGGCTTTAATCCGCTTTGGTTCTTCTCCTGTGCTAGCTTGTTGCCTTTCGAATGTCCTTCCAGTTGATCCTGCTTCCTTTTTTGGTTTTTGGAATCAGTCGTAGCACTACTGCGAAACCATTGACTTTACAATGTCTCGGCATAAACTAAAACAATATTTTTACTCCATAAGGCATTATAACTCATAAAAAATAGGAAAGCTGACACTGCTTAATTTTTATTAAAGAAAAAATTATACTTTTAACCTTTTGTCCAAAGTTGACGAAATAAATAAATAAATTTAAGAAAACAAAACTGTATTCTAATATGTACTAGTCTACGTTGGTTGACGAAATAAATAAATAAATTCAACTTTCCCTTCACGCTTGCTATCTTCGCCTGGTACTTTTCACGCATTTGCTCCATTTGTTTTAAATGAGCTTGCTCATCCTTAAGAGCCTTTTCAAGCAATTCCTTTTCTTGTTCCATTTCCTGTTGCCGCATTTCGTTTTCCATTTTGAGTCTCTTTTCCTTCAGAACGCGGTCCATCTCCATCCTTTTCTGCCTCAACAGGCGTTCCATCTCCAACTCTTTCTCCTTCGCTCTTTGCTCCCTCTCTAGTTCTTTAAGCTTTTTCTCAAGAAGGGAACCGGACTGTCGATCGGACTTGACGCTAGACTTGTCCGAGTTCTCGTCCGTTACGAGCGTCTTTTTGGAGGATTTACCTTTCTTCTTTGGATCTTCCAGCTGCTTTGCCTGCTCTTCTTCAACCTTCTGGCATTTCTCCGTCGGGCAAAACCACATCTCCTGATCACGGATGTTGCTCTCCTGCACACCTACACATCGGTAGTGGAACCATTCGTTGCAGCCTTCGCAAGCAATCATCCTTTCATTTGTCTCAGAAGTTGCTGAGCAGGCAGCGCAGGGGGTCATTGTAAGATTTACACTCATCTTTGAGGTTATCCGTATCCGATTATCAATTTTTGAGAATGTTCGGAATACTTTTGAAAGAAATGCACCACCGTTAAATACAGCTCAAACTGCAAATTGTTTAATTATTCATTCAATCTGGATTTCCTTATAATATTTTCTACTCACAATTGAAAGTTTTTTTTTCACCTTCGTGCAATGAGTGTTATTTTCCTGTTTTGTTCCACAATCAGTATCTACGATTGCTAATTTAATTATGTTAAGCAACAACATCGAACACGTTCCTTGTATAAATTACTTACAATTCTAGTGTGACGTCTGCCCACGCTGTTAGTCACTAGTTTTATCGATCGGTTTTTAATAAAGGCACTGCACACAAGTTTCAATGTTGAATTCACTTAATTTCAGCAAAAACTCAAAAATCCAAATTCTATCCCGAAAGCTACTCGGGTTTTCGCGATGTGCGAGCAAAATTTTGATACGCTGCTCTTCTTGCTTGGACGGCATTTTGACAACTGAAGAGTGAATTCCAAAATCAAAATAGGAGCAACATTCTACACACACACACCTTCAAAATGAGGGGTGTTCAGGTTTTTTAAATGCAAAATTGAAAGAAATACGTCAAGTTGATATTGACCAAATTTTGACCGTATCACCCTTTAATTGTGTGGCAAGTACAATCATACTCTATGCCCAGGGAGTCGATAAATTTTCCAACCCGAAAAATTCCTAGACCGGACCGGGAATCAAACCCAGTCACCTCCAGCATGGTCTTGCTTTGTAGCTGCGCCTTTACCAAATGAGCTAAGGGAGGCCCCAATTGAATATTGCTTACAAATCATAAATAAGCTTTGCGTAGGTTTTATCAGATCAACCTAAATTACATCCTCGTAGTCGTGAATTGTCCCGTTTTCGAATGTGGAATACATATCGACAGTGAGCATTCATAAGGGCGAATACGCGATGATCGATTCTCTTCATCGATTTTCTCTTTGCATTGCTACAGCTAGGCGAAACAATTTTCTAGAATTTGTTCAATGCAGAGTAGTAACAGGTTGTATTGGCTATCGAAAGCAACAGCAAACGTACCGAGAAACGTTAAATCTAGCGAGTTATTAACAAAAGAGAAAATCGACGAAGAGAATCGATCATCGCGTATAGGCCCTTATGCATGCTC